GGGGATTGGGGGCGGTACGTGCATGCAGATTAAGTTCCCCAAATTTCAACCCCGCAGCTTTTATAGCACCCCCACCGCAGTAACCGATAAAATGTTCTTTATGACAGCACACTTATCAAATGTTACGGTGCATAATATAACACTAGACTTTTTATTATCAATTTCAAAACAGAGCAGTGGATGAAGTACTGAAAAATAGCCTTTTCACATCATGCGGGAACAACAAAGAACAACAAATCATGCCAGTGACAAACGAAAAGTTTCATTCGGAAGAGGCGGTTTTAGCAGAAGTTTCCTGAGAAGCATCCTGCTGCTTCGATTCGGAAGTCACTGAATCCCTTTTTTCCACAGCTATGTTACTTTCTTCCGGCAAATTCCTTGGTGCGACTATTTTGAAAAGTCCATTTGCCTGAATGCGGATATCTTGGAACGGTCGGCCATCCTCATCCGTGCGCATTCTACTCCGAAGCTGACCACTTACGTATACCTGCACGCCTGAAAAAATAATTACCAGGCAATTTGATCGTCTGAAACGCAAAAGAGGAAAGCTGCAAAACAGCAAACCTTCGCGTATGTTTTCTTTGATGTAATCGACGGCACTATTCGGTGTGAACACATCGACAAAAGACACGAAACGTGTGATGCCTCGCCGATCAGCTGCAGCAAAATATAACACAATTACTTCGTAAAAACATTAGAAATAACGGCATGATAAATTATTTAGGTGGAGCAAGATGTTTGCTGCTGCATTCTACCAGCTTTTCCATTCAAAATCAGCAGGCCCAGCAAAAAAAAATTGTAAAATCGAAGTTGGAATAAGTAACATTTTTTACGCCTTGATTACTCCTCCTTATGTTATTTATTAGCAAAAATTGAGCATGTTTTTCTTCAGGAAAACGAAGTTATTCCGTTAGCGAATGAATGAATCGCCTGCATCTAAAATCACTAGTACTTTTAATAAAAATTACAACATCAAAGTAAAATGCGAAAAAAAGTCGTCGAAGTGATGGAAAGCATACCACTTGTAGTAGAGAGCTTCACGATGGCATACTGACGTCCTGTTGGCATTGTGTACACTCGTGGTGGTCCTCGAACAATACCGGTCACTTCAATGTGATTTTCACTGCAAAAGACCAGTTTGTTATGCAAACGTGAAGAAATCAAGACATTAGAGGGGATCGCAGCGCCATTAATGAGACGGAGCAACACTT